GCCTGCACAGGGAGTGACCAGCAGGCACTGGTCAGCCTGCACAGAGAGTGACCAGCAGGCACTGGTCAGTCTTCTCTAAACCCCACTGCAACCAGACAAAATCCAGGGGGACACCTCTAACTCAGCCAGGTAGGGCTGCTCCAATACCTTCAGTGGGACTGAAATCCAAACAAGAGAAGCAGAAAATGAACGCACAGGAAAGGAGATCGAGGGAAATGCCTCTGCAGGAATTAAGGGAGATACAATTTGAAGACTTCCAAGGGTCAAAGAAATGTTTTGATGCCAAACAAGTCACTGAACCTGCCTGTGATCCCTCCCTGAGCACCAGGCTGGGACAAGAACTGTGGAGAAAAGCTTGGGAGAACCTTTCCTGGGAGTCACCCACCAGTGAAGCTGTCCCATCCCAGCTTTAGCCCCTGCAGTCCCACCCTGCTTGTTTTTCTCTCTCCAGCCCATGTTGCTTGTGCTCTTGGGGCTGAGGATTGGGTCATTTGTCCTTGGTGCCCAGCTGGAGCAGGAATTGTTTTGTGTCCCTGCCCTGTGCACAGAGCTCACCATCCCCTAATGTGAACCCACACACTAAAGTAGGACAGAATCTGAAAAAGATAAAATCAAAACCTGAGGCATCACCTGCTCCAGGGCTGCCCCAGCAGTGCCAGAGGATGCCCAGCTTTGTCCCAGGATGGATTCCAGGCTGTGGAGCAGCCCCAGCTGTCTCCCACGTTTCCCATTTCATGTGCTGATGGGGCACCCCAAGGCTGGCTGAGGGAGGCAATGAGGGGAAGGGCAGATGCTGGAATGTTCCACCACACTGCAGAATTGCTCAGGAAATTGCTCAGACAAATTAAGCTCCCTCATTTCTCCCTGCTTTCCAGGCTATCCAATTTTTCAGCGTGGGACATCAGCCACAGCCACTTCTCTCCCAATTACTCAACTTCCAAGTGAAGCCTTCTGCTCTCACAGCACTTTGCTAAGATGGGAACTGATGTTCCCATTCCTTCCCTCTCTCCCAGATCCTGGTAACTCCCAAATTAATTAGGGCATCATTGGGGCTTTATGGTTATTTTTCCTTTATGCTCCTGCTGCTGGAGACTCCAACAGAACCCACAGAGCTACAAAACCTCACTGTAAAATAAATCCCAGGAGGATGTGCCCTGCCCTAAAAAGAGTTCAGGACATCTCACTTCTCCTTTCTCCTTGAAAAACAAAACCTAAAGAACACGAAATAAGAATAAAATAAGGACAAAACCTTCACTTTGCTCCTGTATAAAGGAAATAGTGATGCTTTAGACACATTGTGTGAGAAAGACCTGACAGAGGAATTACTTGCCAGAGATAAACACTTGTACTTTGTAATATTTAGGTTCAAAATATACAAAATTAAGGATTTGAGGTCTAAATAATCTAATGAAGCTGCTTTAGTTTAACTGGCTGGCACATCCAGCCATTCCAAAGGAAATCCTTCACCTGAGGAAAGGTCTCCTCAGAGAAGTCTCTGCAGGCACCGACGGAGCCCCAAGATGCAGCACAAAGCAGATCCTTTAAATGCCTTTTGGGCTGGCCACCGAATGATTTGTTCCAAAAAAAAAAGCAATTTAAGCAAATGGAGAGATGTCCTGCCACACGGGCAGCTGAGTTTCAAAAAATGCAGAAAATTGGACTGAAATACTCCACGGGCAGTGGCAATCAGAGCAGATGACACAAATACCTACAGCACCTGGCAAACAGGAGAGCAGCACACCCAGGAGCTTTGCTACGGCAGATTTTATCCTTTTTTTAACAATCCTTACCCAAAACAGGGCACACTCTGCCCCCTCAGCAGCACTGGAAGAATTCCTGCTTTCTGCTGCAATGTTCAATAGACACTTTGGGCTTGTTTTCTGTTTTCTCACATATTTTTGAACATGCAAGCAACCAAAAAGCAAAGCTAATTAACTGGTTTTGCCATATCTAACACGAGAATTTTTATCGTTCCTTAATTAAGCAAACAGCGGATCAAAAGGTAGGGGCAGAACAAGATGTCAAAGAACTATAAAATCCCTTCTTTTTAGAACAGGAAAAACATTTAGATTCAGCAAGTTCTCCCTAGAAATATTGCTATAAAGTATTGATTTTTCACCAGGCTCAATTGACTGAAAAGTTGTTTGTATAGCAATATTGGCCGAGCCAATATAGTGGAACAATTTTGCTCCACACAGTAATCAAGTGTATTTCTAAAGTATAATTATACTGTCATAAAAATAAAGCTAAGATACCTCTTGTCCAAGCCATAAACCACTCGCAGCTGTAAAGAACCCAAATAAATGAAATCCATTTTCTAACTAAAAAAATCCCATGTTTCCTAACTAAACATGGGCTTCCAAAGAGAACCAAGCCCACCTCCAGCCAGGGGGGAGCAGGAGGGCTGATCAATACCTCAATCTCAATAAACTATTCCACTAGAAGAGTTTTTCCCTGGAAAAAAAAAAAGAGAGGTTTCTGCTCAGCCTCCTGCAAGGCACCATCGTGTCCCTGAAACACCGGGAATATTTCACTGCCATAATGGATATGAGGCAGGATAAAGAGCTCAGGGAAGAGAGGGGGGATTAAAAAAACATAAAACCACGAGGTAAAGATACCAAAAAGATAGAAGGGAGGGTGCAGACAGGCTGGCTGTTGAGCTGCACATCGATCCCCACACGGCCTCTCCTCCCCGAGCCAGGAGCCCCACGCCGGAGAGGGAAAGTGCCCAACCTCTGCAATTCATTGCACCTGACAAATGTCCATTGATTTACTGGAATAAAATATCCCTGGGCTGCTCCCCGTGGCTGGGGCACTGCAGCTGCCTGGGAGGGTTCCAGTTTGAGTCCCTCATTCCCTGCTGGGGTGGGGATGCTCTGCCACAGAGGGAGAATCGGGAACTTTTTGGGAAGGGGGGATTGAGGTGGTTTTGCCACAGGGCTGGAGCCCTTCTGCTCTGGAACCAGGCTGGGAGAGCTGGGAATGTTCCCCTGGGAAAGGGAAGGATCCAGGGAGAGCTCAGAGCCCTTGCAGGGCCTGAAGGGGCTGCAGGAGAGCTGGAGAGGGGCTGGGGACAAGGGAGGCAGGGACAGGACACAGGGAATGGCTACAGAGGGGAAAAGGGGAGATTTAAATGGACATTGGGAAGGAATTCCTGGCTGGGCTGGAATTCCCAGAGCAGCTGTGGCTGCCCCTGGATCCCTGGAGTGTCCAGGGCCAGCTTGGAGGGGTTTGGAGCAGCCTGGGACAGTGGGAGGTGTCCCTGCTATGGCAGGGGTGGGATGAGATGAACTGAGCTCCCTCCCAGCCCAATCCATTGGAGGATTCCATGATAATCTATAAAATACCCACACCCAAACCAGCACCCATTCCCTGGAAAAGGCTGGAGTGACTCCTGTCCTGGAGACACCCCAAAGTCCCTGCAGCTGCTGACTTCAAATAACAGTGGGATAAAAAGGAACAGGGGCCACAGAAACACCTCCCTGACACAGGAGGGGCTCCTGCCTCTCCAGGTGGGACTGTCCCTCCCCAGAGGGCAGGGAATTGTCACAGTCCCCACCCCAGGCTGGGCATCCCAGCTGCACAGGACAGTGTCACACAGGGCTTTTATCCCAATTGCACAGCCCCAGAAACACAGGACAGTGTCACACAGGGCTTTTATCCCAATTGCACAGCCCCAGAAACACAGGACAGTGTCACACAGGGCTTTTATCCCAATTGCACACCCTCAGAAACACAGGACAGTGTCACACAGGGCTTTTATCCCAATTCCACAGCCCCAGAAACACAGGACAGTGTCACACAGGGCTTTTATCCCAATTGCACACCCTCAGAAACACAGGACAGTGTCACACAGGGCTTTTATCCCAATTGCACACCCTCAGAAACACAGGACAGTGTCACACAGGGCTTTTATCCCAATTCCACAGCCTCAGGACGGTGTCACACAGGAACATTCAGCTTTTACCCCAATTCCCTTCTCTGCCTCTCCACCCAACACCAACAAGGCTGAGCTCTAAAGCTCAACATTCTCTCTCAGATCTCCAATAAAATCAGAAAATAACAAAATAACACCATTTCCTCAAGTCCTAGGAACATCCTTCTCCAAGAAAAGATTTCTGAAGCACCTTCCACCCCCAGGGCCAACCTGATTTTAAGGGTCCATCCCAAGGCTGCATTTGCCCCTTGGAGGCTCTGGAAGTCCATTTCCAACCTTCTGCCAGGAGCTGTTCTGCAACGCTGGCAGCCAATTAGAAACCAAACTAAATGCACCGTGGCTTTTAAAACATTTTAGTGGGGGGGAGAGGGGGGTAAAATGTTAATATCAAAGTTAAAATGTCTAAGGTATAAACAAAACCCTAATGGGATGCTGGGTTACTGTATATGGTAAACAGCTCTCTGGAGGAAACCTTTATTGCTCCCTCAGGGCTTTCTGACAAAGTATGGATTTCTTAATTCCCACAGGAATATTTTTCATACCCCACTGCAGACTATTAAGTCCCAGATATTACATTCTGTAGTTTAAACTTTGCACGATGCCTAAGCAGGAGCTTTCTCAACAGGAGAGTCTCATCTGTGCTATTTTAATTTTTACAGTGTTAAAATTAATCCTGGCTGCAGGGCTGGAGCTTCTGCACCAAAATTTGGGGGAGTTGATGAGGCTGGGATGGAGGGAGAGCAGCAAAAGGGGGTGAGGGATCCTGAAGGGCAGGGCACTGGTGCCACCACATCCCACGGCTGTCACCCCCAGGTGAGGCACCAGGAATTCCAAATCCTGGAGTCCCACCCAGGACACCCCAGACCCCACTTGCAAACCCTCAACTGGCTCCCAGAAAAGATTCAAAGCTGTGTTAAAACCAGAATTAAACGCCCCAGAACGGTTTAAAAGTTCACATTAAGATTTTTCTCCTGTAGAGCCTGCCTAGACCCCAAAGTGTGAGAAGTAAAAACGCCGTGAAATTTGAATTTCTGGGCAGGTTTGAGGTGAAACCCCCACTCACTTGTAGACGGTGCCTCCGTTGCCGTGGCCGAGGATGTCTCGGTATCGAATGTCTTGTTCATTCATCTCCACAAGAAAGAAAGAAAAACAAAAGAGATGTCATGCTGGGGATGGAAATGTCAAGGAAAAGCAACTCCAGGCCATAAACAACAAGCAGCGTGGGTCATTTCAAGTTCAGCTGCAAGAACGAGAAGATCAATACAACATTTGCTGTCCAATTTATAAAAGACGATACCAAGGGACAAAGTGATGGAAAGTTTAATGACAATTTGTTTGCCTGGGTCATTTCATTAAAGTTTGATAAAAGGTGTCAAAATGGAATGATATAATATAGCTCAAGAGGGTCAGGGCACTGCTGCTGAGAGGAAAAGGGGCTCCAGAGCAGCACATCAGCAGAGCCAAAGTTGGAGGTGAATGGGAACAACCCTGGCAGCTGGGAAAGTTTGGGATTTATTCTGGAGTCACAGAGCTGAGCCTCAGGGAGAGGCAGCTCTGGCACTGCTCAGTTTGGACACTTTTGATCCAAAGAAAAATCAGTCTGGAACCCCAATCCAAGTGATTTTCCTTGAGACACACAGCAAATTCTTTGCCTCAGTTTTTTCTCAGATCCTCGGCTGATAAAAGCACTGCAGAAATCCCTGAATTCGGCTCCTTTTTTAATCTGGATTTTACAACAGCTTAACATATTGCCTGAGAAGGAACTGGAGTGTAAAACCACAGTTCCACCTTCTCCTGGACAAGGAGAGTTACCCTGATTTGGCACAAATTTAAAAATCCCATTAAAGACGTTTTTGCAATGCACATTTATATTTTAAAATAAATATTTTGTACAGAGTTAGTTCTGGGTTAAAAGCGATTTTCCAGAAAGACTCCCCCGTTGCCTGATCATTTTGCATAGAAAATGTTTGAGCAAATCCTGCTTTGAAAAGAGATTTTCCTAGGAAGCATTAACTCATTTTCAGTAATTACTTGTATTTTATGGGACACCAAGTTAAATATTTCACATGGCTTGGCCTGGCTGCTTAAAGATGTCATTTTTGTGTATTAACACAAGTGATGATAACAAGCTCAAATGTCCCAAAGAGTCAATACTCAGCATTTCTAATGACCAGAAAATGAAATATTTTATTGATTTAAAAGAAGTTGCAAGGACAGAAATGATTAATCCAAAATTAATGGTTTTTCCTTTCACTACCTGAGCAAAAAAATTGTGGTTTCTCACTGGAATTGCTACACAGGGAAGGGAAAACCTGAGTTGAGACAACTCAAAATAGAAGGTGATGATTTTATTATTTATTTGTAATTAAACCTGGGCCAGGCTCCTTAGGAGGGCCCATTCCAACACCAAGGTTTGTGATGAAAATTAACATTTATTTCACTACTGAAAACTCCTTTGCTCATTGCGTTCATCAGAAATGCAAACAGAAAGGGGGAAAAGTTGTTCCTCATGAGGAAAAATCGCTCACAAATGGGATTTAAAATACAGAAAGAACCTACAGTGAGTCCCCAAAATAAAAATAATTTCTCTCAGGCTGCAGACTTGGGGATTTTAAGGAGTTTTGCTCTTCCAAGCTGGAGGACCTGAACCCTCCAGCCTTGGAGGAAACACCTCCTGCATTCCCAAAAATGCAGGAGAAGCATGCAATTCCCAACCACCCCAAAGAAAATCCAATGAACCCACAAAAGCAACAACAAATCTGTAATTTTGCATCCCAGTGGGGGAAAAGAGATTTTTTTTTGGAGGTTCCTCAAGTCATGAACAACAAATGGAGCAGAACTGGAGACATCCAGCGCATTCCCTGCTTGTTCCCCACTGGAAAAGGGAATTTTTGTCCACACCACTCCCTGAAGGACAGGGACAGGAGCAGCTCCATCCTCTGAGGCACCCAGGATTCCAGGGAAAAGCAGGAATGCTGGGCTGGAGGCAGGAGCTGCAGCTGATGGGAGATAAAATGGGATTTACTGGCTCAAATAAAGGTGCCAAAAGCAAGGGGTGATTTATTTATCCCCCTGGGAAAACTGGATTCTCCATCATAAAAGGTTCCCCTTATACCAGGGGGTGTTAAACCTGCAACCCCAACTTGGATGGGCTGGAAAATTCAGGAATTCATGGAAAACCAAGCAGGGAGCAGCAAACAAAGCATCCCTCCCTTCCACTGGCTGGGGATGAAACCAGGGTGGGTTCTTTGGAAATAAATACCAAATTCCCAATTAATCCCAGTGAAATCAGGGTGGGTTTTTGGAAATTTTACAAATTATTATTAAAATCAAAATGCCCAATTAATCCTGATGAAATCAGGGCGGGTTTTTTGTAAAAAAAAATAACCAAATTCCCAACGAATCCTGGTGAAATCAGGGTGGGTTTTTTGTCAATTTTTAAGAGCCAAGTGCCCAATTAATCCTGGTAAAATCGGGACAGGTTTTTTGTAAATAAATAGCCCAATTCCCAATTAATCCTAATGAAATCAGGGTGGGTTCTTTGTGAATTATCAAGAGACAAATTCACAATTAATCCCAATTAAATCAGGGTAGGTTTTTTGTAAATTATTAAAATCCAAATGCCCAATTAATCCTGGTGAAATCAGGGTGGGTTTTTGTAAATTTTGTGAATTATTAAAAGCCAAATTCCCAATTAATCCTGGTGAAATCAGGGTGGGTTTTTGTAAATTTTGTAAATTATTGAAAGCCAAATTCCCAATTAATCCTGACGAAATCAGGGTGGGTTTTTGTAAATTTTGTGAATTATTAAAAGCCAAATTCCCAATTAATCCTGGTGAAATCAGGACGGGTTTTTTGTAAATAAACAGCCCAATTCCCAATGAATCTTAGTGGAACCAGGGTGGGTTTTTTTGTGAATTATTAAGAACCAAATTCCCAATTAATCCTGGTGAAATCAGGACGGGTTTTTTGTAAATAAACAGCCCAATTCCCAATGAATCCTGGTGGAACCAGGGCTGTTTTTTTTGTGAATTATTAAGAACCAAATTCCCAATGAATCCTGGTGGAACCAGGGCGGTTTTTGGGAATCATTGAGAGCCCAGAGCAGCCCAGAGAGGAGCTTTAGCAAATCCCCTTTTCAGAGCAGGCTCTACTGGGGCAGCCCAGGCACTGCAGTGCTCCTTATGAACTGGTGACACTCTATCAATGCTGAATCAATTGGTGGCATTTACCCTGAGTGACAGAAAAGAAATAAATATTTATATCACATCACCTCTATCAATGAGGCCGGGCAGAAAGCTATTTCTAACCTGTCAATATTTGATTATCTTGAAGAATCACGTCCCCTTCTTTTAATGATTAATATGAATTCCTTATTAAAGCTAAATGGAAACTACTGGGGGAATATCATTAGGGACGCCTCAAAGCAGAAACTGCCAAAAAATAATCAAAAATAATGACCCAGGCCAGACTTAAGTAATGGTTAAGTGTGACTTAATCCCCCCAAAATGAACAAAAGTTAAAGTTTCACCCAGGAACCCATCACCAGCTGTGGATCTGTGACCAAAATTCTGCAGAATTCAACTGAAATCACTTGCTCTCAACAAAAAGCAGATTAACTCCCATCAGGCTGACTAAATAGTATTAAAACTGCATTATTTATTTATTTCTAGTGGATTTCAGTAACATTTTTAATATCAGAAGAAAAGGTTATTAATCCTTATTTTTTTAATTGGGTTTAAGTTTAAAACTTCATTCTTATTTTCTTTTTAGTGGGTTTTAAGTAGCAATTCCAATATCATAAGAAGTACCTAATTTTTAAATTTTTTTCTGAGTTTGACTTCCATTTTTCATATCATAAGAAGAGGCACTTAATCCTTATTTTCTTTTCTTTTTTTTTTTCCCCAGTGAGTTTAAGGAACATTTTTAGTATCACAAGAAGAAGTTTGGTTTTAAAATCCGGAACCCCAGGGAACCAATCTGTGAATCTCTTGCAGGGCACACCAACCACTTGTTCTCTGCAGTTTAGAACAAATAAAATGCCAAATTCAGCCAACCACAGCGAGATTTTAGTCCCATTCTGGGGTTTTACTCTCAAATAAATCACTTTAAAATAAATCAGTAATATCAGAGAAAGCAGCACCCTGATGTACAAGCTGCAGCCACCTGCTGCTGCTACTCCCAGGATCTCAAGCCACCAAGGGAAATACATTATTTACCTGGGAATTCTGGAATCCTAAAAAAAAAATCAAAAATTATCAGGAATATAATAACAACTAACATAAAATAATATCATGGAAAAAGATTTTTTAAAAATATCAGGAATTTGAGAACACTGAACTCAGCCTAAAATCCCCATTTCCAGCTGTATCCAGGGATTCAGCAGCACTGGGCTCAGGTTTTGGAGGGGGAAAAAATCTCATTTTTGGAGGGGGAAAAACCTCATTTTTGGGGGGGGGGGGGGGGGGGGGAAAATCTCATTTTTTCCCCTGCAAATATCCCAGGTGAGGCTGAAGGACAGCGCCAAGCTGAACCTTGATGCTGCTGGCAGGCCCAGCCCCTGATTCATGAAATGCCAAGGAGGCCTGGGGGTCGTTGTGTGACACTGAATAGGCACGGGAGATAATGAAGATTTCAGCCTGCCAAGGCAGAGGGGAAGTGAAGAGCAGTTAAGAAAATCAATAAGAGTCTTTTATTTGCACTGACACAGATGTCTCAGTCAATAGAGCCTAATAGGCAGCTCCGTGGACAGGTGCCTCCCTCCAGGGCTGCCAAACATGGCACAAATGGATTTGTATATTAAAATATATCTGTTTGGGTTAATAAATATATAATAAATGTAAATAGATTTTATATATTTATATGAGTTTTATAGTTCTATTTATTTATAAAATATTTATTTTTACATTACATACAATTATAAAACATATATTTTATATATTCTATAAAATATATATTATAAAATATTTTTCACATTACATAGAATTATAAAACATATATATTTTATATATATTTTACAAAATATATTTTATAAAATATATATTATAAAATATTTATTTTCACATTACATATAATTATAAAACATATATATTTTATATATTTTATAAAATATATTTTATAAAATATATAGTACAAAATATATTTTATGTTAAAACATATTTATTTTGAATAAAATATTTCCTATAATATATATTAACTACAATATATTATATATTATTTTATTTTATATTTGGTTTTATAAATATAAATAAATATAACCCAAATATATTTTATACTTTTATTTCATTTTTATATTTATATTCTTTAATATATTTCTATATTAAAACATATAAATGTATATATTTTTATTTATATATATTTTAATGTATATATTTTAATATTTATTTATATAAATATATAATAAATACAGATAACATTTTAATACATTTATTTTTATATTTTACATTTATTTAGATATAAAATATATTTATATATTCAAATATATTTGTGTGGCTGCTTGAGAACTCTGGGTTCCCCATCCCTGGGAGGGTCCAAGGACGGGGCCTGGAGCTCCCTGGGGCAGGGGAAGATTTTCAGTTTGGGCTCTGAGATCCCTCCCAGCCCAAAACCACAGCCCTGAAGTGATTCCAGAGTGGTTCCTTGCAAGAACCTGACAAATATTTCAGTATCTCCTGCCCTAACCCCACTAAGGTTGTTTGTTGCAAATAAACAAAACCTTATAAAATAAAATTTATTTTACAGTAAACTGTAAAATCAGGCTTTATTGCTATTCCAACTAAACTAACATCCAGCCTGTGGAACTCCCACGAGAAATGAACTCTAAGGGTGAAAATCAATTTACATAACAACCTATTCTTGTGAAAAAACCAGGTTACACCTGCAAAAACCAAAATTCTATCCCAGAAGAATCTGTAAAGGAAATACATAAACTACCTAGAAACAGAGACATTTAATAAACTCTCCCATTGGCAATGAAATGAATTTCAGCAGATTGTTAATCAATTCATGCCCAGTACCTTCTAACATTCCTGTAAATATGAACTGTGGATTCTTTACCCTTTTACCCAAAGCACACACACCTATTATCTTAATTTCATCAATTCACTGGGGAAGCTTTCTCCACGCTCTCAGGTGCAGTGCAGGGTTCTCTTGGGGGTCAATGTTTGTCAGTGCAGAAAGTCCAAAATTCCCACTAAGCAGGGTTCTAACAACACACTAAGTAAACAAAAATTCAACTATTCCACACAAAAACCCAAATATTTAATCCCATTTCCATCTCTGATTGAGGCTGACAAGCGAGCAGTTCACTCAATTACCCAAAACTGACTGAGGGGCCTCCATCCGTTTGCAGCTGAAGCAGATTTTGAGAAGTGGGGAGCAAATTTCTGTGCCAGTAAAAGCAAATCAGGACCCTGAATGCTCCCAATGCCCCCAGTTTTGGGTTAAAAAAATCACATTTCAGCTGCATGAGCTGGGAGCTCCACCCAGGCACCCACCTGGCCATTGGCAAGGATCTTCTTCAGCTCTGCAGAGGACTTCTTCAAGCTGGAAAAGAAAGAAAAAACAACAAATTAAAGCAATTATTTTTAACATTTCACTCTGTCAGACAAAGTGGGGAACAAGGGGAGTTTGTGGTTCCATATTCTGAGATTAAACTTGAATGTGAAGGTGTGGTGAGAGCAGCCGGCACTGCAGGCAGCAGGCATGAACAAGCAATGAACAGTTCAAAAAATAATAATAATAATAAAAAAATCAATGTATTTCCCACCTTCCAGCTGGTTTAGACACCTGACTGCACAACCTGCTGGGACACAAGCTATTGCTCACCAGCTCTAAGAGGGAAATTTAAAATAAATTTGGATGTTTAATCCCCACTCTCACATGCCAGGGGTTCCAAAAACCCCATGAAAATGTGGCTCACACCCAGTGTTCCTGTGCTAATCTGGTTTTGAGCTCCCCAAGGCAGGATTCCAGGAATTCCTGTGGACCCCAGCTCCAGGCCCTGCTGCCAGGGATGTCACCCCCCCAGGGACCCCAGGCTGGAGGAGAATTCCTGATCTGGGACCTCAGGCCGTGCCCAAATCCCTGAGGGGAGCCCAGTTTTCCATGGGCACCCATCCCAGGGCAGCCTGCTGAATCCCTGGGCTTTTCCAGGAGAATCCAGCCCCAAACCAACACAACAAAACTCACTTTAATTTAATCCCTTGGCTTTTCCAGGAGAATCCAGCCCCAAACCAACACAACAAACTCACTTTAATTTAATCCCTTGGCTTTTCCAGGGGAATCCAGCCCCAAACCAACACAACAAAACTCACTTTAATTTAATCCCTTGGCTTTTCCAGGGGAATCCACCCCCCAAATCAACACAACAAAACTCACTTTATTTGTTCCCTTTGCTTTTCCAAGGGAATCTACCCACAAGCCAATGCAACAAAACTCCCCTTAATTTAATCCCTTTGCTTTTGCAGGAGAATCCACCCCCAAACCAACACAACAAACCTCACTTTAACTTCTTCCCTTGGCTTTTCCAAGGGAATCTACCCACAAACCAATACAACAAAACTCCCATTAATTTCTTCCCTTGGCTTTTCCAGGGGAATCCACCCCCAAATCAATACAACAAAACTCACTTTATTTGTTCCCTTTGCTTTTCCAAGGGAATCTACCCACAAACCAATACAACAAAACTCCCATTAATTTAATCCCTTTGCTTTTGCAGGAGAATCCACCCCCAAACCAACAAAACAAAACCCACTTGAATTTCTTCCACGAGAACTTCCCCAAGCCCCACTTCTCAGCTTGGTGAGTTAAAGGGTGAAACCTTTAATGCCCTCAAACTCCTCCAAAAACTACAACCCAAACTCCTCCAAAAAACTCACAAAATCCTGGTTTTTCCCCTCCGTTCCTGACAAACTCTGCTCCTTGGAGCTTCAACACAACAAACTGCCAGGGCAGCAACGTCTGCAAAACTTCATCTCAAAGGGACATTCTGCTCTTATTACTGAAGTTAAAAAAAAAAGAAAAAAAAAAAAGAAAAAAGTACAAAATAATATATTCTTGAAAGGGCTGTGCACGTGTCTTGATCACAGATCATTATTAACAGGAACAGTGAAAACACAGATTTCATATTTGGTGGCTTTGTTCTTTAATAGGCCTCTTGTTCCCACGACTGCTTTAAAGAAAAATTAAGTTTTCCAAGGAAACATAAGTTGATCTTGTCATCTTTCATGACTAACAATTTGTGAACATGAAACAAAGAGAGACTTTCAATTACTTCAAAAACAAAACTCCTGGTGCAGAAGGTTTTGGAAAAGGAATGGCAATTAACCACCAGATAAGGTGACAAGAATCTTCTAGAAGCTTCATTTTCAATGCACTTGAAGAACAAGCTCAAAGTACAGGAGGTACTGAAAGGAAGCAGCAGCAGTGACAGAAAAATCAGCTTTATTTAGCTCAGCCTGGGGGGACTGCAGAGCACACAGATATTCTGATTTATTCTCTTTCCATTGAGGACTTCTGGGATGGGGTCTGGGAACGTTTCCCTGGGGATGGGGCACACTTTGCCAGGGTGGGAATTATTTTAAAATCTCCACAATTACAGAGCCACCAAAGGCAGCAGCAAACTGGGATTGCTGGTTTTGGATGGGGTTTCCAGTGGGGAAAAACCCCAGCCCTGCTGCTGGATGAGGCTGGGATCTCCCACGGTGAAAATGGGATTTGTGGGACTGTCCCCAAAATTCACCCTCCAAACGCGCCCAAAGCAGCACAAATGTGCCCCTCTGACCACATTAATCTGTGGTAATTCTCCTTTTTAATCTTCACAACTTTCCTTTTCCCTTCCTTTTTCTCAGGGAGAAAAAGGAGCAGGATGCTGATGCACAGATAAATGGAATATTGTGGGCTTATTAGAATAATAGAATAATTTAGGCTGAAAGGAGCCTCCAGAGAATTCTACTCCCATGGCTCAGATATGCTCTTGTAGGAAGAAGATGGAGCCAGACCCTCCTTATTTCTTTTTAAGGATACAGAAAGGTTTTTTGTGGGTTTTTACCATCAGTATTATGACTTCCTGTAACAATTCACGTAATAAAAAGGAGTTTATCCTCCAGCATTTGAAAAACAAATAGGAAAAAAAAACCCAGAGAATGAGTTCTCTTGCATTTTAAGACCTTAATATGAGTTTTCAAATTAGGGCTGGAATGTAAAAAGCAAGATAAGGGGCATGGACTCCAAAACTTGGCTGGAACTGTAGGAAACAGGGAGTTAAGCTGAAAGGATTTTTTGGAAATCCTGCCCCACCTAACAAACCTACATAAGTTTATTATTTAGCCTGTTTATTGGTACAAACATGTGAATGGGAATCAAACTTTCAAATCAAGGAGTCCTGGAATGAAAAGGAAACAAAGAGCTGAGCACAGACCCTGGCGCTGGGGCAGCCAAAGGAGCCCAGCCCCAATTGCACCTCAGTGCTTTTGAAGTTAGAGCCACCTGGAACACCAGCAAATCCTCATTTCTCCAGCAGCAAACCCTTATTTTTTCCTAAAATCCCCAGCAAATCCTTATTTCTCCAGAAGCAAACTCTAACTTTGTCCTGGAATTCCCAGCAAACCCTTATTTCTCCCTGAAACCCCAGCAAACCCCAATTTCCTGCTGAAATCATCAGCAATCTCCCATTTCTCCAGCAGCAAACCCTAATTTCTCCCTGAAATACCCATAAAATGCTTATTTCTCCATCAGCAAACCCTGATTTCTCCTGAAACTCCCACCAAACCCTAATTTCTCCATCAGCAAACCCTGATTTCTCCTGAAACACCCACCAAACCCTGATTTCCCCATCAGCAAACCCTAATTTCTCATGAAACACCCACCAAACCCTAATTTCTCCATCAGCAAACCCTAATTTCTCCCTGAAATACCCATAAAATGCTTATTTCTCCATCAGCAAACCCTAATTTCTCCTGAAACTCCCACCAAACCCTGATTTCTCCATCAGCAAACCCTGATTTCTCCTGTAATTCCCACCAAACCCTGATTTCTCCATCAGCAAACCCTGATTTCTCCTGTAACTCCCACCAAACCCTGATTTCTCCATCAGCAAGCCCTGATTTCTCCTGTAACTCCCACCAAACCCTGATTTCCCCACCATCCCTCAGTTCACCAGCACAGCCCCATGGGCAGCATCCCCATCACCCCCGACCCAACGCCATCCATGGGAATCCCACCTTTCCAGCAGAAACCCACCCAAGCCCAGCATTCCCAGAACCAGCCAGGTCTGGGGCTCTGTCCTGGGTCCCAAACAAAGGGAATTAAGGGGGGAGGAAGGAGGAAGGAGGGAGGAAGGAGGGAGGAGGAGCAGGTCCTTACCTGTTGCTGGGCAGGGCCTCGGAGGCGCCGCTGCCGGCCCCCGCCCGCGTGTTCACCTGCAGCAGGGAGAGAGAGGAGCTGAGCACAGCCCTGCTCATGGGACACCTGCTAATTAACCTGTAATTTGCCAGGGATGCCTCGTCAGGCTGGGGAGGTTAATGAGCTGGTTGCTAGGCGTGCTGCTGGCTGAGGGATGGATGTAGGTTAGCGGGCTGCACCACGCCGGGGCCGCAGCGCGCAAAGGATGCGCTGGGAAGGGTGGGAAACTCGGGATTTGTTCTCATTTTAAACACCCAAAAATCGTTTAACACGTTTATAATCTCCTCCATGTGACTGTAGGAGCAATAGGGAATCAAAAATCTAAACTAATTCCACTGTGGTGCCTTCCACAATTGGATAAATGAGTGAAATCACAGGAACGAGGTGGGGGTTTAAAAGCTTTGAAGTAGTGGCAGACAGCAGTTGATAAATGAACTACTAAAATTTAAGAACACGATTAGCAGAGGTTAAAAACAAAAAGGCAAACCCATTTTTAATAAAACCACATCTATAAATATAGATATCACGGCCAACATTTTGCAGATGAATCCTTCTCCCACCCTCGCCCAAGGAAAAAAAAAAAAATCAGAATTTAAAAAAAAAAAAAAAATCTGCTTGTCAGAGCTCAAGAAAGTGCAGTTTTATTTGACATTTCAATAAGTGGAACACAGCATTACAAATCCATCTAACTTTCCTGAAACAATTATTGAAATTCGTACCTTGAGGCCATGTATGTTCCGTTTCCCAGGAGGTTTGCAGGCTGAAACAGTAATTGACTAAATTGTAGAACACATCAGGGCCATTTACAAATTTGCTCAAAATGAATCTTTTCAAAAGAAATGAGGGTGACACCAAAATTAGCAGAGAGAAATGATTGAAAAGTGCCTGGCGAGACCCAGAGTGGGAATTACAGCCCAGGATTTTTAACTTGCAGGAGTGAGCATTTATAAATGCTAAGAGCTTCCTGACACCGTGTCATGGAAATTCTAATTTCTGTTCAAAACACAGCACAACCCAGAGAACCCTTGGAAATTCTAATTCCTGCTCAAAACACAGCACAATCCAGAGAACCCTTGGAAATTCTAATTTCTGCTCAAAACACAGCACAACCCAGAGAACCCTTGGAAATTCTCATTCCTGCTCAAAACACAGCACAACCCAGAGAACCCTTGGAAATTCTCATTCCTGCTCAAAACACAGCACAACCCAGAGAACCCTTGGAAATTCTCATTCCTGCTCAAAACACAGCACAACCCAGAGAACCCCCAGCTCAAACAAGGGGAATTTTTTTGGTAATTCAGATTGCAACCTTGTGGTGCTGTGTTTTCACATGCTGGGTTTTTTTCCCCCTGGAATTTCACAGGGATATTTGCAATCTAATATTGGGATTTTTAGGGAATTGGCTGTGTCAGGAATTGGTCATTTCGGGAGAGGCACTTTGGGGAAAATAGGGAAGAAATGTGGGGGAAAATGGGCAAGAAATGGGGGGAAGCAACGTGGGGAAAACAACCCTGGGGAAAACCTGGCAGGGGCAACAGCAGAGAGCCTCCAAAAGGTAAATACTGAATAAATAAAAGGTAAATATGGAGGAAAACCATAGAAGGAACCTGAAGGGAAAACAAACAGGGGGAAAAACCCAAACCTGGGGAAAAACCATGGCAGGGGCAACAGCAGAGCGCCTCCAAAAGGTAAATACTGAATAAATAAAAGGTAAATATGGAGGAAAATCATGGGGGAAAGCAAATATGGGGGGAAAAAACAAACAGGGGGGGAAAAAACCACGGCAGGGGTAAGAGCAGTGAGCCTCTCTGGTAAATACTGAATATATAAAAGGTAAATACCAAATAAATAAAAGGTAAATATGGAGGAAAAACCATGGGGGAAACCTGAGGGAAAAAAAACCTGGGGAAAACCCAAATCTGGAGGGAAACCACGACAGGGGCAATAGCAGAGCCTCCAAAAGGTAAATACTGAATAAATCAAAGGTAAATATGGGGGAAACATGGGGGAAAAACCTGGGGAAACCAAACAGGGGAGAAACCATGGCAGGGGTAACAGCAGAGAGCCTCTCTGGTAAATACTGAATAAAAAAAAAAGTAAATACTGAATAAATAAGAGCTAAATACTGAATAAATGCCACTGGAAATGTCACTTTTTGGGGGGGATATATACACATATATAAAAATATATACATATATATTTTATAGATACATCTATGTTTAAAATATAAAGCTGTATAAAAATATAGAAATATAAATACATAGATATACTAAAAATATGTAGATATACAAAAATGTAGATACATAAAAATACATGTAGATATATAAAAATTATGAATTTTTACATATATATAAATATATATAGCCATCTAAAATACATTAATTTTGGGAAAATGAATATGATTTATAGACATATAAAAAATGTGTGCACATATATATATCTATATATATTTTTGTATCTCTTTCTCTATATTTATATGTACACCACCTACTGATGTTTATTTTTAATATAAAATCCCCCTCTGCCTCTTATTACCTAATCAGCAATAATAAACCTATTAAAAATTGAGAAAATACTAATTTTTCCCCCTTAAAGATATTTTTATTGTGAAATAAATAAAGCACAGCCCAGGTAACACAGGTTGGCACGTGGAAATGTACTCCTGAAAGGATTTTTATGGAATACAGGAGTTTTTGGGAGCAGGAGCTGAGGCTTCCTCAGAAGTTAGAGAGGCAGGAAAGGAAAAGAACTCAAAGGATTTGCAAAGGAATCTCTTAGAAGGGAAGAAGTGGAAATTGGAGGCAGAAAAGCTGCAGGTGCTGCTGGGGCTTTCAAGTGGGGAACGTGGAGAGCCAGGGCCAGGAGGGCACAGGAGAAAAGGGCTGCCAAAATTTGGGATGTTCATTACAGAGGCAGGACAAGGAGACAGGGAAGGGAAAAGAAAAATTTAAAAAAAAAGAGCAAGAAAGCAGGAAAAAAAAAAAAAGAGCAGGAAAGCGGATTTTGTGATTTTGTTGGATATTTCAGAGGAGCTGCAGAGTTCAGGGGTGGTTTGGGGGCTTTGAAGGCTCTAACCCAGGAAAAAAGGGGGTTTAAGGGAGTGGTTTGGGAGAATGAAACAAAACCTGAGCTCTGGAGCAGTTTGGAGGGAGCGGGGAGGGGGAAATGCAGCAGAGAGCCTGAGCTGAGGCAGGGGTGAGCATCGGGGGTGGCTGGGGCAGAACTGAGACAATTCCCAATCCTGCCCGGCCACAGGAGATCATCCAGGACACAGCAGCAGGAACAGCAATTCCCAGGGCTGCCTCTCCAGGAAGGAGCCAAAGGAAGAAATTTAAATCCCAAAATGTGCCTTAAACCCAGAGTGGGTGAGGTGTGAGCAGCTCCTGGCAGCACTCCCTGGGACTGGGTGTTTACAGGGAAATGTAAAGGTTTAAAGGACAATTCCAAGATTTCCCAACCTACTCAGATCACCCAGTTCCTCTGAGCCACAAGAGGAGGATCCAGGGAATCCTCAGAGCTTTTCCAGGGCCCCTAAAAGGCTCCAGGAGAGCTGGGAGGGACTGGGACAAGGGATGGAGGGACAGGACACAGGGAATGGTTTAAATGGGATAGGGCAGGGATGGACATTGGGATATTGGGAGTTAGGAATTCCTGCCTGGGAGGGGTGGGGAGGGCTGGGATGGAATTCCCAGAGCAGCTGGGGCTGCCCCTGGATCCCTGGGAGTGCCCAAGGCCAGGCTGGGCAGGGCTGGGAGCAGCCTGGGACAGGGGAAGGTGTCCCTGCCATGGAATGGGATGGGGATGAGATGGAATCATTAATATGGGATGGGATCCATGGGATTTCAGGTCCTTCCCACCCAAACCATTCCAGGATTCCATGATCCACGCCTGGGCAGAGGCAGGAGACCCCTCCCTCTCCCTCTCCCTGCCCTGAGGAGGTCACAGCTCCCACACCTGGGAATCCCCTCCTGTCCACACCCTGCCAGCCTGAGCCAGACAAACCCCATTTCCCACAAAGCCCATTTCCCACAAAGCCCCCCATTTCCCACAAAGCCCCCCATTTCCCACAAAGCCCCCCATTTCCCACAAAGCCCCCATTTCCCACAAAGCCCCCCATTTCCCACAAAGCCCCCATTTCCCACAAAGCCCCCATTTCCCACAGAACCCCCCATTTCCCACAGAACCCCCCATTTCCCACATTCCCCCATTTCCCACATTCCCCCATTTCCCACAGAACCCCCCATTTCCCACAGAACCCCCCATTTCCCGCAAAGCCCCCATTTCCCACATTCCCCCATTTCCCACAAAGCCCAATTTTCCATAGAACCCAATTTCCCACAAAGCCCCCATTTCCCACAAAGCCCCCATCTCCCACAAACCCCATTTCCCACAAACCCCCATCTCCCACAAACCCCCATCTCCCACAAACCCCCATCTCCCACAAAGCCCCCCATTTCCCACAAAGCCCCCCATTTCCCACAAACCCCATTTCCCACAGAACCCCCATTTCCCACAGAACCCCCCATTTCCCACAAAGCCCCCCATTTCCCACAAAGCCCCCCATTTCCCACAGAACCCCCCATTTCCCACAAAGCCCCCATTTTCCCCACAAAGCCCCCCATTTCCCACATTCCCCTCAAACTCCTGTCCCCTTGGCAGGGCAGCACAGGGAACCCCCAGGACCCCCACCCAGCCTCTTTGGAGAGCTCGTTAGCAGGGTTTGAGGAGGCTCCTGTTAATTGCCCAATTCAAACTTCAGAGAGTTGTAAGTAATGGAAGTGTGGAATGTTTAATTGGGAGCCTCACAGTATGATTATTTGTGTAATATCTGTCAAGTGAGGGGAGTTTAATTTTTAATTATTTCAATTAATTTATTGCTGGGAGATTTACTTGGAGAATTTCAACCTTCTCAGTCCCATCAATTAAGAGGCAGAGATTCAGAGCCTGGCTACTGAGATCTGAATGAATTATGTCATGCAGGAGGCTCTTCCCAAGCATTCCTGGGGCTCAGAGAGAGCATTCCCAAAAACCCTCCTGAGCTGCCTATGGAATTTTGTCAGCTTGGAGATGACCTATTTCTAACTGCCTCAGCCCACAGAATTGATCACATCTCTCCCTGTTCAGGAGAATTACTGAGGTGCTTGTGAATATTTGGGCAGCACTAAATGCCCAAATTTCAGACCAAAACGTGTCCTGGCTGGAGCTGCTGTGGCTACAGTGGTGACAGGGACACTCCCCAGCCTGGCAGGCTGATTAATGACATGAAAACAGCTTTAAAAAGCCCAATTTTCATAAGTATCCAAGCCTTCAGTTATTCATCTGCTTTGCTTGGAAAGAACCATCACCAATGAGTTCTTTAAATGTACTTAAATATGTACTCTGCAAACCTCGTTAGTCTAATTTACTCCAGGAAATTAGCTGCTTTCTATGCAATAAATGCACTTTTCTCCACACTCCCCACAATAATGAATTCCTCTCTCCAAATTAAGAGGTAAACACGATGCTGTGTGCATTTAAACCTCCCCAAAACGTGCCAGGAGCTGCTCCAGCACCAGTTCCCTGGGCTGGTGACTGGGATTTGCTCAGCATTACCTCGTGGGTAGATCTGCAGAGGCTCTATCAATTGTCCATTCACTTGCTGCTCCATCACAGTGGAGTAATACTGCAAAAAAAAACCAAAAAAAACCCAAAAAGGAGATGAGTCAGTAACCAAGGAGTGGCAAAAGCACTTATGGATTGTTTAGTTCTGTGTATTTTCATTTTCTCTGCAATTGCCACGGTGCAGATCAGCCCTCAGATGGTTCCATTCCCATCTGCAGTGCTCCCACAAAAAGGAATTTAAAACAGGGAGCTGTGGGGCCACAGGGATCTGCTCCTGCCTCAGCAGGGAGAGCTGGGAATGCTCCAGCAGGTGAGGAAATGGGATATTTACAGCATGGAATATTCACAGCATGGAATATTCACAGCAAAGGCAGCAGCTGCCACAGCTGGAGGAGCCAGGAAAACCAAACACGGCCACAAAGACTTGGTGCAAATAAACCCCAAATGTCCCCTAAATCACCCCAAAACTGGGCAGTTTGAAAGCTCCAAGGGAATCCCTAAATCACCCCAAAACTGGGCAGTTTGAAAGCTCCAAGGGAATCCCAAAGGGGTCTGGAATTCTGGGCAGCGATGAAGGATCAGCACAGAGGATCCCAAAGCTGTGACCCCAAAAAGCCCCTGCAGACACCCTGAGACACTGAGCAGGAGCTGCTGCAGTGATCCAGGGATGTTTGTTGGTTAAAAAAACCCTCAGAATGGGCAAAAAGGGCTGGAAAAGAGCTGAGAACATCAAAACCCAGCAAGATGCTTGGGCTGGGAGAGCTGGGAATGTTCTCCTGGAGAAGGGAAGGGTCAGGGAATGCACAGAGACCCTAAAGGAGAGCTGGGAATGTTCTCCTGGAGAAGGGAAGGGTCAGGGAATGCCCAGAGACCCTAAAGGAGAGCTGGGAATGTTCAGCTGGAGAAGGGAAGGATCAGGGAATGCCCAGAGACCCTAAGGGAGAGCTGGGAATGTTCAGCTGGAGAAGGGAAGGATCAGGAATGCTCAGAGACCCTAAAGGAGAGCTGGGAATGTTCAGCTGGAGAAGGGAAGGATCAGGGAGAGCTCAGAGACCCTAAAGGAGAGCTGGGAATGTTCAGCTGGGGAAGGGAAGGATCAGGAATGCCCAGAGACCCTAAGGGAGAGCTGGGAATGTTCCCCTGGAGAAGGGAAGGATCAGGAATGCCCAGAGACCCTAAGGGAGAGCTGGGAATGTTCCCCTGGAGAAGGGAAGGATCAGGAATGCCCAGAGACCCTAAAGGAGAGCTGGGAATGTTCTCCTGGAGAAGGGAAGGATCAGGAATGCCCAGAGACCCTAAGGGAGAGCTGGGAATGTTCTCCTGGAGAAGGGAAGGATCAGGGAATGCCCAGAGACCCTAAGGGAGAGCTGGGAATGTTCAGCTGGAGAAGGGAAGGATCAGGGAGAGCTCAGAGACCCTAAAGGAGAGCTGGGAATGCTGCCCTGGAGAAGGGAAGGGTCAGGGAATGCCCAGAGACCCTAAAGGAGAGCTGGGAATGTTCTCCTGGAGAAGGGAAGGGTCAGGGAATGCTCAGAGACCCCAAAGGAGAGCTGGGAATGTTCTCCTGGAGAAGGGAATGCTCAGAGACCCTAAAGGAGAGCTGGGAATGTTCAGCTGGGGAAGGGAAGGATCAGGGAATGCCCAGAGACCCTAAGGGAGAGCTGGGAATGTTCTCCTGGAGAAGGGAAGAGCCCAGGGAGAGCTCAGAGACCCTAAAGGAGAGCTGGGAATGTTCAGCTGGAGAAGGGAAGGGTCAGGGAATGCCCAGAGACCCTAAAGGAGAGCTGGGAATGCTGCCCTGGAGAAGGGAAGGGTCAGGGAGAGCTCAGAGACCCTAAGGGAGAGCGGGAGAGGGCCTGGGGACAAGGGATGGAGGGACAGGAGCCAGGGAATGGCTGCAGAGTGGGAAAGTGGAGATTGAGATGGACTTTGGGAAGGAATTCCTGGCTGGGCTGGGATTCCCAGAGCAGCTGGGGCTGCCCCTGGAGTATCCAAGGCCAGGCTGGAGCAGCCTGGGGTGGTGGAAGCTGTCCCTGCCCTTGGGATGAGCTTCCAGCTTTGGAATTCCCGCTTCACCAAGAGAATTCCAGGACCTGCAGGCATCCCCAGACAGGACAGGACCATTTCTGATCCCTCCCTGGAATATCCAGCTGAAATAAACACACCTGAGAGTGGCTCCTGCCCCCCAAAAATATAACAGAGGGGGAGGGAGGGAGAGAGAGGGAAGGAGGGAGGAAAAAGCCTCTCCATTACTCACCAGTGATGACAAGTAAATGAAATATCAATCATGTAAGCTGTCAACCTTTTGGGACAGCAATAACTGTTAACAAGTAGTCTGGAAAAATTGTCTGAAAATGACTTGTCCTCCACAGGCCAGCATTGGAGGTTTCCATGGAAAATTAAGATGCCAGTGGCTATTTGGAACATTGTTCAGGTATTCTTTTTAATGGGAAATTTGCCACTTATTGATCCAGAGCATGTAGCCCTTGCTTTCAGAGAGCTGCAAGCAACTTTCCAATCAGTGGCTGTCAAAAAAATTACTGCCTGTTTATACAGATACAAGACAACAGCTCCAGAGCAGCTCCACGGCCGTCCTTAATTACCTGCACTGCCCAGCACTGAAAAAATCCCATTTACAGCCCCCAAAATCAGCCTAACTCAAAGCAGGTTTGCATCATCTGAGGGAATTCCAGACCTGAATCAAATTCTTTTCAAATTCATAAAGCAAGGAACCTAAAGGGAAGGTTCAAAATTATTCAAAGTATCAAAATGATTCCAAAAAAATATTGAAATGACCCCAAATAAGTACCAAAATGACCCCAAATAAGTATTATTCAAAATATCAAAATGACCCCAAATAAGGACCAAAATGACCCCAAATAAGGTACCAAAATGACCCCCAAATAAGTACCAAAAATGGCCCCAAATAAGTACCCAAAATGACCCCAAATAAGTACCAAAAATGACCCCAAATAAGTACCAAAAATGACCCCAAATAAGTACCAAAAATGACCCCAAATAAGTACCAAAAATGACCCCAAATAAGTACCAAAAATGACCCCAAATAAGTACCAAAAATGACCCCAAATAAGGTACCAAAAATGACCCCAAATATCAAAATTATCCCAAATATCTTCCCAGTTCTATGTTCCAAAGTCCAATCTCAGGGAATTGGTTTTTTCTCCTTAAACTGAAAAAAAATCCACTTTATTTACATTTTAGAGAACACCTGCACCACATCAAAATTCCCTGAAATTCTTTCCCAGCTGGCCAATCCTCCAAATATTTGTTGCAGGCCTCAGAATGAGCATTTCCCTTCCCCAAGATTATGAATGAATTCATTTCCTAGGCTCAGAACATTTGTTTCCTGGTAAACACATCCCAAAACGAAGCCCATAGGATGTGAGGAAGTTCAACCATCAGTGCAACACTCAAATAAAAAATTAGTTTAAAACCGAGGAGAAAAATTTTTCAGAGAAGAAGAAGCTGCTGAAGCAGAAAGAAGTCATTTCCAGGCATCCCATAATTTTGCAGGGAAAGCAGAGAGTTGGGCAATCAGAACTCTAATGTACTGAAACTTGAACAGTGAGCTTGGAAGCATAGCAAAAAAATGACCTTCCCAAGGCATGATTCATCTGGAAGAGAATTCAAAGTTTGCCACTTGGAAGGCAAAAAATGGCCGAGATTTCCCCAGGAAAAGAGAGAGAACCACCAGGAATTCTGGGGGGAGGGAGCTCCAGGGAGCTGCTGGACCCAAACAGGGAGGGAAAAGGGGCACAAAGTGCTCAGAACTTCACTCTCAGCAGGGTTTGTTTAGTGCCAGAACCTCTCCTGAAGCTGAGCACCTTCCCCAGGCTGGAATTGCCTCCCTAAAACCTTCCCCAGGCCGGAATCCCCTCCCTAAAACCTTCCCCAAGCTGGAATTGCCTCCCTAAAACCTTCCCCAAGCTGGAATTGCCTGCCTAAAACCTTCCCCAAGCTGGAATTGCCTAAAACCTTCCCCAGGCTGGAATCCTCTCCCTAAAACCTTCCCCAAGCTGGAATTCCCTCCCTAAAGCCTTCCCCAGGCTGGAATTGCCTCCCTAAAACCTCCCCAAGCTGGAATTCCCTCCCTAAAACCTTCCCCAGGCTGGAATCCCCTCCCTAAAACCTCCACAAGCTGGAATTCCCTCCCTAAAACCTTCCCCAGGCTGGAACTGCCTCCCTAAAACCTTCCCCAGGCTGGAATTCCCTCCCTAAAACCTTCCCCAAGCTGGAATTGCCTCCCTAAAACCTTCCCCAGGCTGGAATTCCCTCCCTAAAACCTTCCCCAGGCTGGAATTCCCTCCCTAAAACCTTCCCCAGGCTGGAATTCCCTCCCTAAAACCTTCCCCAAGCTGGAATTGCCTCCCTAAAACCTTCCCCAGGCTGGAATTCCCTCCCTAAAACCTTCCCCAGGCTGGAGTTCCCTCCCTAAAACCTTCCCCAAGCTGGAATTCCCAAGAATCTGGGGAGAAAAAAACCCCAAACAGGCACCAGGAGCATAGGGAGGAGCCAGGCTGGGAAAGCTGGGAATGCTGCCCTGGAGAAGGGAAGGATCAGGGAATGCTCAGAGACCCCAAAGGAGAGCTGGGAATGTTTTCCTGGAGAAGGGAAGGATCAGAGACCCTAAAGGAGAGCTGGGAATGTTCTCCTGGAGAAGGGAAGGATCAGGAATGCTCAGAGACCCCAAAGGAGAGCTGGGAATGTTCTCCTGGAGAAGGGAAGGATCAGGGAATGCTCAGAGACCCCAAAGGAGAGCTGGGAATGTTCCCCTGGAGAAGGGAAGGATCAGAGACCCTAAGGGAGAGCTGGGAATGTTCCCCTGGAGAAGGGAAGGGTCAGGGAATGCCCAGAGACCCTAAAGGAGAGCTGGGAATGTTTTCCTGGAGAAGGGAAGGATCAGAGACCCTAAAGGAGAGTTGGAGAGGGGCTGCTGAGGGAGGGACAGGACACAGGGAATGGATTCACACTGGGAAATCTGGGTGGGATTTTGGGAAGGAATTCCTGGCTGGAATTCCCAGAGCAGCTGGGGCTGCCCCTGGATCCCTGGGATGGATCCCTGGAGCAGCCTGGGAGGGTCCCTGGCTGGGATTTCAGGTTCCTCCCCACCCAAACCAGTCTGGGATCCTCTGAATTGCCCCCAAATCACCTCTGGGTGCTCCCAAACAGGGCTTGGCTCTGCCAGGTCATTTCTGGGAATTTTGATCCTTCTGGCCCAGAGGGAAAATCCCCATTTCTTACCCCTCTTGCTCACTCATTTCCTTTGAAAAGAGAAGTTCAAGGATATTTTTTTCCCCACTTTATTCAAATGGTTCTGTGGCCATCAGTAACTGCACCCTCCCCCCTCTGCAGGATATTTCTTTCTGTTAATGGGATATATTTATTTCTATTTCTATTTCTGGGGATGCAGACAGATTTCACACACCCCTACCTACACAAAGGCACACACAGCCACATCCATCTCCCCTGAAAAACACAAACCACATCTTCAAATCCTCCGTGAACACTGAGCCTGCAGCTACAATGAAACTCCTCTGTTAGGAGGGGTGAAGCAGGCTCCAGATGAAAGTAGATTTTGAAAAATTTTTAGAGCCCAGGGGTTCATTTTTAATGAGCCGTTACTTTAAGTACTGCATAAAAAATACAAGAAATTGATAGTCCATTTAGCCTGCACTATACCTAATGCAAAAGTCATTAAGATGCATTATTCTTAATGTTTATGATATGATCAGTAAGTGAACAAGTCTTTTTTCTTTTCTGAAGTGGAGCCTGTCCATGGATCTGGTGTGAAAGCACCTCCATTCCAGGCAGAACACCAAAAAATTGGAATTTAACACAGGGACATGGCCCAGTCAAACGCTGTGGGACAAAAAAGCACCAAGAAAAAATGATAAACACAGGGAAAATGAGGGTTTGTGGCAGTGTACTCACATAGGACAGCATGGCCTTCATCTCCTCATCGCTCCTGACCGTGATCCGGTCCCCATCCTCATCCTCATCTGCCAGAGGAAGGCACCAGTGAGCAGGGGAAGGGGCACAGGGACAGCCCTGACAGGCAGGGCTTCATCTGCACTCACAGCAGCAAACAAAACCAAACACCGAAAAAAGAAACTGCACAAGGACTCCGAAATAGGAATGTAGGAATGGTGTATGACCTCCAAATATTGATTACCAAGAATTGGGATTTTTGTCCTAGAAGGGGCACAAAGTGCTCAGAATTTCACTCTCAGGAGGGTTTGTTTAGTGCCAGAACCTCTCCTGAAGCTGAGCACCTTGCCCAAGCTGGAATTGCCTCCCTAAAACCTTCCCCAGGCTGGAATTCCCTGCCTAAAACCTTCCCCAGGCTGGAATTCCCTCCCTAAAACCTTCCCCAGGCTGGAATTCCCTCCCTAAAACCTTCCCCAGGCTGGAATTCCCTCCCTAAAACCTTCCCCAGGCTGGAATTCCCTCCCTAAAACCTTCCCCAAGCTGGAATTCCCTCCCTAAAGCCTTCCCCAGGCTGGAATTGCCTCCCTAAAACCTCCACAAGCTGGAATTGCCAAGAATCTATGGAAATAAAATCCAAGAATCTGGGGAAAAAAAAAAAAACAAAAAACCAAACCAAGAATCTGGGTGGGAAAAACAACCCAAGGAATTCAAATTGTGTGAGAAAAGGATTTTGTTCATTCTGGCTCTGGAAAGGTAATAATGAAAAAACAAAACAAAACAAAACACAACAACAACAAAAACAAACAAAAAACCCAAAAACAAAACAACAAAATCAAAAAAACCCCTAAAACCAAAAAAAAAAAACCAAAAAAAACCCCAAAAAACCCAAAAAACCAAACCAATAAAAAAAAAAGCAAACCCCAAAGCAATGCAGAGGAGTAAAACATAAAAACCTCAAAATTGGAGCTTAAAACAGGAAGAGAGCTACTGGAGCAGCACACATCCACAAGAGGGATCAGAGGGAAAGCAGAGAGGGATGAATTTATGGATAAAAGGTCTGGGGAGAGGGAACAGCCTGAGCTGGGACCATTAAAAAATAAAATAAAAAGTAAAAAAAAAAGGAGGAAAATTCTAGCAAAATATTCAGAAAAAATTCCACATTATCCCTTTGAAATGATTGAGGAATTTACTCAGTTCCCAGCTGCAGATTTCCTGGTGGTGGTACAAACAGAAGGAATTAAAAATATGTGGATGAAGAGGCAGAGAAAAATAAAAATTAATCTAAATTAATCTGGCAAAGAGTAAAACCAGAAGAAAAATCTGCCCTGAACCTGAGCAGAGCTCCTTTACCATCTCAAAAACTGACCCAGGAAGATTTCCAGCCTTCCCTCCTTGCCCAGAGCGCTCAGATCTGATTTTCAGCACAAACAAAAAATAAAAATCCCCCCGTCCTGGCTGGATTTTTTAGCACCATTTGAAATGGAGGAAGAAGCCTCAGAAGAATCCTCAGCAGATGGGAGATCAACCCTGAGCAGCAAAATCCCCAAATCTGCAGCAGGCAGGCAGGAACGGGGATGCGGGGCAGGGATGGGCTGGGAGGATGCTCAGGGCCCAGATGCTGGCACTGGGGGCTGGAGAGCAGGGGAAATCTGAATTTCCATGCTGGGGCTGGGAACACCAAAATAAAACCCACAAAAAGCTGGGATTTTGTGGGACAAATCCACAAAAAAAGCTGGGATTTTGATGAGACAATTCCCCCCACCTGAGGCAGCGATGGAGAACTGAACTTGAAGCAGGAAAATCCAGGGGGGAAAAGGGAAAAAAAAAACCCTTGAAAAGCATCAATATCCATAACATATTTGAGATGGCAGTAAAGTGGCAGGGAAATGGGCTCAGCAGCTGGAAATGACAGACTAGAGACACGCAGGGAAGGCACAGGAGCAGATGTTGGGAGGCAGAACAAAAATCAGAATTTTCCAGGAGACTCCTGCACATGGCACTGCTGCTGTGGGTGCCGCCCTGATGGAGCATGAAGTTCAAACACAGCCCAAGTGGGACGTGCCAGGGATGGCACACACATGTCAACACCAGAGAACACCAAATAAAGTGAAAAAAAAACCCCATAAATTGCAAGGCTCTGGAAAGCTCAGGGCTGGTGTTCAAAAGCAGGGCAGGAAAAACGCAGAGGGTCAGGAATAAAAATCTGTTTTGGGAAGGAAAACACAAGGTGTGAAAAGAAAAAGAGCATTAAATAGGACTGGAAGGACCATAAATCAGTATTTCCTTTGATTATCCCCAGGCAGAATGAGCCCCAAAGCTCCAAAAAGAGGAGAAATAAAAATAAAATTACAAAAATGAAAGGCCCCATCTAAAGTCTGCTCTGTCCCCCCCTCACCCTCCATCCAAAGGAAAACAGAGGAAAAATATAATAAAAATTATAACTTCCTTTCATCTCAAAGGAAAACAGAAGGAAAAACATAATAAAAATTAAAAGGGATCATCAGGAGCCTGCTCCATTTGGAAGAAAACTCCAATTTTTCAGTATTTCGTCCCCTGGGGCACTCCCCTTTGCAGCTGATTGCTCTCCAGATAGGACAATCCCCCTGGAACCCCTTCAAAAATAAAAATAAGCAGGGTTTAAAGGACAGATATTAGCCTAAATACTTGCTGGGAGGATTGGAGGATTGCAATTTTAAACTGAGACCTACAGGTAGTTTATACTTTTCATTTAATTTGAGCAATAAAATTGCACTGAGGAGTAAGAGCATGGTAAGGTCAGGCTGGTAATTAAAGCTCCTGTGTGGAAATATTCCAGATGTGATTAAATAATAAAATATTGCTTGCTTTAGTGCCATTATTGAAGTTGCATTAATGCATAAATATTTAACCATGACGTATAATGAATATCACTTATTTTAAAATAATAAATAGGATCAGAATATCAGAAGAGCAACATAAAAATTATTTATTTCAGTTACAGCCCAGCAACGTGACAAAGGAATTGGCTGACCAAAGTCACACTTACACTCAAATGCTGTGGTCGTTGCATCTGGCAAAACTTGGCCAATGACATCCTAAAAATATAAGGAAAAATTCATTAAATATTCAATGAGAAAAGCCTGGTTTGCAATAAATCACTGGAACCCCTCCCCAGTGCCCCAAAATGAGGGAGTTTTTAGGGCACACACCACAATTCTGCTCCCCTCATGATGTTTTTCTCCTCCCCCTCCACGAGACCTCCAGGAAAATTCCTTTCTTCCCAAATCATTCCCTCCTAATTGCAAACAGCTCTGTGCTCTCTGCTCCTGCAGGTGAAAAAAAATCCATTTTTCCCTTGGGTTATAGAAAAACGGGCACCTAAGCGAACAAAACCAGCCATAGAAAGAGCTATATATATAATTTTATTTTTTTTTTCTGTAAAAACCCCATTTTCTCCTGTTTGGAGGGCTCTGTCAGCCTCAGCTGTGATTTGAACTTCTCCAAAACTCAGGAGATGCATTCAAATACTGGGGGGAATTCACTGGGAACCCCCAAAGGGGCAGAGGCAGAACCTGAGGCAGCTCCACCACACCAAACACAAAAACATCTCCAGCCACACAGCCCAGATGTTTTACAGGTACCAAAGAGGAACTTTTATTTCTTTTTTTATAGCCAAATCCCACCAACACTTCCAGTCCCACACCCCTGATCCCACCCAGATTTGTTTTTGCTGATACCAGAGAAGCTCTTTTAACATTTTTCCAGCTTTTATCATTTTTCCAGCCAAAACACCCCAGCATTTCCAGCTCCAATCCATTCTCCAACCCAGATTTTTTTGCTGATACCCAAGAAGAATTTTTACCAGATTTCAGCCAAAATTTCCACTTCCAACCTAGATTTTTTTTTTTTTGGGGGGGGACCAGAGAAGAGCTTTGATCTTTTTTTCACCTTTTCCCATTTTTCCAGCCAAACCACACCAACACTTCCAGCTCCCCATCCCTGCTCCAACCCAGATTTTTTTTTGCTGATACCAGAGAAGAGTTTTTACCAGTGTTCAGCCAAAATTTCCACTTCCAACCCCTGCTCCAACCCAGATTTTTTTTTTTGTTGTTGTTGTTGGGACCAGAGAAGAGCTTTGATCTTTTTTTCACCTTTTCCCATTTTTCCAGCCAAACCACACCAACCCTTCCAGCTCCCCATCCCTGCTCCCACCCAGGTTTTTGCTGCTGGTACCAGAGAAGCTCCTCTATCATTTCCCAGCTTTTATCATTCCCCAGCCCCTCAGGGGCCACGGCACCAAGGCCCAGCGTGGCTCTGCCCCTCCCTGGTGCCTCCTGCCAGGAAAAATGAACTTTTGGGAATGAATGGAGCCCAGGATTTATGGCAGCACAGCCACTGGAGCCTCTCAGGGTGCTCAGCACCCCCTGCCAAAGCTGCACTGGTGTCCTGCCACTTCTGCTCTCCCCATTTTTCATCTCAAAGGATGAAATTAAAGATTCTGTGGCACAGAGGCGTAATTAATAATATGTGAAAGCAGCACAGGATTTCCACAGAGCCAACTGAAGCAAGTAATAAATACAAAACTTTCTGGCGGTGTCCTAGATGTGAAAATAAATCAAGAAATGCGATTCAAACTATTAACTGCACACCAGAAATGTGCAGTGTGGCTTAATTGTGGAATTGTAAATTTGCAGAGGCAAAAATAAGAAAAAAAAACCCCACCAAAATATTTCCATGTTGATAAAAATTCTTCCATTGTCCAGCATTTACCAGCCTCTGTCAAAAGCTACTATTTCTAATAATAAATCAGTCTTGCCTACACAGAAAACTGTACTAATTATTTCTAAATCCATTCATTTAAGCATTGGAAATTCCTCAGCAAATGCACTTTAACTGTGTTAGATTTAAGCCCCTTGTCAATGTTCATCTATGGGCAGGCACACAGATGCTTCTAAGAAATTGTTAAAAAATTGCATTTAAGGGGGTGTGGAAGCTTCAGAGGCAGCTCTGAGAACCCAAAATTCTGCTTGGAAAACTCCAAATATCCCAAAGCTCTGAAATAATTTTTTAAAAAAAATCTTATTTTTACCTTATTTTTATCTTATCTGCATAACTTTTTCTGTGTATTGAGACTTCTTTAATAGTAAGTAATAATCAAAAAGTAATTAAGAATCAAGTAATAATCAATAAGTGAATTACACACCCCAAGGTCTTGCACTAAATAAGCACCAACAGCCCCCAAAGCTTTGCCCAGCTCTCAATAATTCCATTAAATGAGTGCATCTGAGAGAAACCAGGGCATGGAGGCGGGGAAATCCCATCAGGGCGAAATTCCCAAAGTGTCTGCAGCAGCTCCACCCCACTTCCAACCCCCAGACCTGGGGCTGACCCAGGATTAAAGGATTATTCCAAATTTCAAAGGATTACACGTGCACAGGGGATTTTCTGCTATCACAACAGAGATCATGAGCAATGAAATACTCCCACTTGGAGGCAGGTTAATATAATATAATATAATATATGCAACATAATATAATATTTATTTTATAATAAAATACAACCCACTTGCTGAAGTGAGTTTATGTAAGGGATACAGGAACTCAAAAGCCCCTAAAAATGAGGAGAAAAATCAGGGAACAGCAGGTGCAAGAGGAACTGCAAAACCAAATCTGTTCTCTGGAGGAGCATGGGTGAGAAAGCAGAAAATGTGAAACTCTGCTCAAATGCCAGGGTAAATATTGAAGCCACAGCTCTCACATTCCAATTAAATTTGTTTTATCTCACTATGACAATGTGAAGTTACCCAGAATTAACACCAAGTGCTTAAATACCACTGACAGGAGGAATGCAGACAGCTTGAGGGAAAAAAAAAATAAGCTTATTGTAATTCATTTAGTGGGGCCTTAAAAATAAAGCTATTTACTGGAAACTCACAGGCCTGCAGAGCTGACACACACAGAACTTATTTCAAGTGACACCATGAAGAACAGCTCTGAAAATGGGGATGGAAATAAACCTGCACACCAGCCTGAAATGCTGCACTCAATGAGAGGCAAAATTAATAAGAATTAGCTTAAAAACCACCTGAAAATACAAAATAATAAGAATAATTTCACCAGCCTGAAGTGCTGCAAGGCTACACCCACTGTGAAGCAAAATCAACAAAAATCAGCTCAAAAATCACCTGAAAATATAAAATAAACCCTCAAAGATAATTTCATGGGGCTTTCTGAACACAGAGCAGCCCCGGGACCCACCTTGAAGGAAGAGGAGCCCAAATCAGCTCTCATGGGTGCAAGTTCTGGGACGTGCCCCTGGCTTGGGGCTGGTCCCAAATGTGGCTCTGCAGCTCCAGCAGGACAGAAAGTCCCCAAAACCCCCTTGGGACAGGGGCACAGGGATGGGATGGAGCTGGGGAGCCCCAGGCAGCCCCACAGGGATCGCTCAGAGCCTGAGAAACGCGCGGGCACTCCCGGGGGACACCCCTGGATTGATGCTGCTCCCCAGTGATCAACAGGGAACCCTGGACCTCCCCGGGCTCTCTGACTGCTCCTGCAGCAACTGAACTCCTGAAAGGCCCTGGAGCTCCTGCCAGGCCAATCACCCTGAGGGCACAGAGCAGGGGCAGCCCCACTCCTGCCCCCCACACACCCAGCACTCCTCAGTGGATTGGAGCCTTATTTATTTTATTTTATATTTAATTTATTTCATTTAATTCCTGTATTTATCTGACCCACCGCTCCTGAGTGGATTGGAGCCTTACTTAATTTATTTTATTTCATTTAATTCCTGTATTTATCTCACCAATTAAGTCCAGGTGAATGCTGTGGTGGCACCTCCTGAAACACAACCACCAACACCTGACTGCAGCAGCCTGACAGGGGATAAATGAAATTCTCATCAGGCCCACAGGTGTGACAGGACAAGAACAGCAGCCCGCTCCAGATCCTCTCACCCACTGGCCACAGTGTCTCTACTTACTGTTAAATAACCAACCTGAATTCACAATAATTCTAGGAATGCAAAGGAGAATCCAAGAATCAGGGGTAATTTCACTTTAGTTTGGGGAAAAAAACCGAATGAAAACATGAAGCAGAGTTGGAGAAAACCAGACTCATTTGCTCCACTTTTGTTTGAGGGCACAGAGGGGCCCAACCACCAAGGGGAAACTGCCCCTCCCAAAAACCTCCCTGGTTTGTCAAAGGTGCTGCTCCCACTCCTCCATCTACAGAAAATCATGAATAATGGTAAATGTTGGGAAGAGGACAGTTGGGATTTCGGGATTTCTGTCATCCCTTCCAGTTAGCTCTGCAACCAACACTGAGCACCTTCCAGCAACCCAGCCCTCCATCCCCACATGTCCTTTCCACAGGATCAACCTCCTGAAAGACACCTGCAAAATCTCTCTCCAGAGTTAATAACAGCAGTAAAAACTGAACATGCACCTGAGGGGTGATATGGGAAGGTTTTCTTTAGAGAAATGGGGGCACACAGAGTCCCGGGGAGGAGAGGTGAGGGCAGGCTGCAGAAAGCACCACCCGCACCCTGAGCTGCTCCTTGGGCTAAGGACACAGCTGGGGGGGAGTGGGATAAAAACCCAACCCCATTTCTGAGTGGTTTAAACAATAAACACCCACTCCCATTTCTGAGGGGGATAAAAACCCAACCCCATTTCTGAGTGGCATACACAATAAACACCCACTCCCGTTTCTGAGGGGGATACACAAACACCCACTCCCGTTTCTGTGTGGGAAAAATTCCCATTTCTGTGTGGGATAAACAATAAACACCCACTCCCATTTCTGAGGGGGATACACAAACACTCCCATTTCTGAGCAGGACAAACACTCACTCCCATTTCTGAGCAAGCAGAGCGTCCTTGTGTGCAGACGGACACAAAGCCACAGCAGGGAAGGAAGGGGCTGAGGGCCAGGAGGCAGAGCAGAGCCCCAGCCCGGGAGGGGACACGCCACACGAGCAGCTGTGGCCCCAGCCCCGGCGCAGAGCCCACACTTCTCCTGATCAGGGAATTCCTTCCCAAGCACGGAGGAGGGAATGTCCTGACCCGGAGGTGTCCCTGACCCGGAGGTGTCCCCGGATTTGGGGACTCTAGAGGTTCCCTCCAGCCCAAATCGGGGCACGATGCCCCTGCCTGGCACCTGCAGCATCCTCCCGAAACCTCGCAACGCCGGCGCTGGCCCGGGACGGACAAAAACCACTCTCCCGTTAAACATTCCGCCAAAACACACCCCAAAAACACCTCCTGCCATCCAGGGAGGGATTCAGACACCCTGGGCGCACGGAGCGGGGCATGGCGACATCTCCTGATGGCCGGCACGGGGGTCCCGGTGCCATCCCCTCACTGGCTCGGAGGTCCCGGTGCCATCCCCCGGGCCGGCTCGGGGGTCCCGGTGCCATCCCCTCACTGGCTCGGGGGTCCCGGTGCCATCCCCCGGCCCGGCTCGGGGGTCCCGGTGCCATCCCCCGGCCCGGCTCGGGGGTCCCGGTGCCATCCCCCGGGCCGGCTCGGAGGTCCCGGTGCCATCCCCCGGGCCGGCTCGGGGGTCCCGGTGCCATCCCCTCACTGGCTCGGGGGTCCCGGTGCCATCCCCCGGGCCGGCTCGGGGGTCCCGGTGCCATCCCCTCAGCTGGCTCGGGGGTCCCGGTGCCATCCCCCGGGCTGGCTCGGGGGTCCCGGTGCCATCCCCCGGCCCGGCTCGGGGGTCCCGGTGCCATCTCCCGGCCCGGCTCGGGGGTCCCGGTGCCATCTCCCGGCCCGGCTCACTCACCAGCACATCCCTGAAGAGCAGCTGGGGCGCGGAGTGCACGGTCCAGTCCACGGCGGCTCCGTCGGGGATCTTGATGCGGATGACGAGCGCCTGGCTGTCCATGGCGCCGCAGGGGCCGCAGAGCAGCCAGAGCATCCCCGCCCCGCGGGCTCACATGCTGCGGCCGCCGCGCCGGGCCGAGCCGGGCCGGGCCGGGCACAGCCTGCACCGCCCTCCCGCAGGAAGGAGCCGCTGCCCCGGAACCAAAACGGAGCCCCGGGAGGAGGGGATGTGCGGCGGCGGCAGCGGGAGGAGGAGGAGGAGGAGGAAGGGGAAGAGGAAGGGGAGGCGGCGCCATGGGCGGGAGGAGGCGGGCCCGGCTCCGCGGTAATTGCTTTCCTCTTTCCGTGCCTTGTGTTTTGACAGGAAAAGCGCAGTTGAATGGCACATTCAGCCGGGCCGGGCCGGGATTCCCGCTGTCCCGTCACAAACACGAACACAAATGCCAACAAAAACTCAGACTCCGCGCCGTGCCAACTGCGTTGCCATAACCTGCCCAGGGAGCTGGGGGAGTCACTGAAGTGCCCGGGGATGTCCCGGTGTGGCACTCGGGGACACGGGTAAAGGGATTGCGGTGCTGGCTGAGAGCTGGGCTCGGCGTTCCGTGCCCGGCTCTGCCCATCCCTGCCTCGGTGTCCCTGCGGAGCAAACTGGGAATGGGCTCTGGGAACAGGCTCTGGGAATGGGAACAGGGAATGGGCTCTGGGAATGGGTGCATGGAGCACTGAGAATGGGCACTGGGATAGGTACCGGGAATGGGCACTGGGAACGAGCTCTGGGAACGGGCACTGGGAATGGGCACTGGGAATGGGCATAAGGAATGGGCGCTGGGAATGGCACTGGGCCAGCCCAAGGCCTGCAGGAGCAGTCAGGGAAGGGCTGGGGCCCTTGTGCCAGCAGTGTCACACAGTGTCACACAGTGTCACACAGTGTCACACGTGTCACGGCTCCTCCACCTTCAGCTCTCCGGGGCTGATGTCCAGGTACGATTCTGCTGTCTCCGAGTTCCCCCCGTCTGTCAGGGATGCAGCTGAAACCAGCCCGGTCCAAACCACAGTTTCCGTCTTCCTGATGGAAGAAAATCCCTGTTCACCTCAGCCACAAAAAAAAAAAAATGTTTTGACAGCTCTGCCATCACAAAACCCCAAATTCAGCTTTTCAAACAAGCTTTTCATTGCCACAAGTCACAGGGAAAGCTCTCTGCTCCGCACAGCTCTGCAGCATAAAACAATCCACTTCTTTTTTTTTTTTTTTTAAGAGAACAGCATTAATCTCAATTGTGGGCTATTGATCCGTGCATTTTATCACACTCTCTCACATTATCATCTCTGACAAACTGGACTATTTGAGTTATTTTATCAATTTACAGGGGGGGAATGGGAGGTATATTTAATTCCTGAAACATCTTCAAGCTTCTTCATATTCGGATTCTACTTTGTTTGAGCTTTAGGAAAAAAAAAAATTCAATGGCCATTAACAGAGATAAATTCTCTCTCTGTTCAATAACTTTATAATTTAGTTCCTATACTAAAAATTAATAGAGCCCCAGCTCCTAAGGATCTAAGGGACTGGTGGTGCCCACACAGACATCTTTCTGCTCAAATGAACCTTTTACCTGCAGTCCCTGTGTACCTCTCACTCAGCTCCATTTCAATCAGAGTCATTTTCTATTAAATTTTAAAGAATAGGACACAAAATGATGGAATTTCTATAGACCCGCAATTTTTCTAAAATGTCTTCTTCATTTATGAGACTATGGGGAAAACCAACTCAATTTGCCAAATTTGCATAAATATTACGTCGATTTTCCAGGGCTAATCACAACCTTAATCCCCCATTCTGATTTGTGTAATCAAACTTGAAGGGTTTTTATATCTTAAGAAGTACAGCACATTGAGCATATATTTATTGATACAGGTTTGGTTTTGCCACAGACTTCTTTAAAACCCAAGTTTAATCAGAAATTTTCATTTGAAATATGCCATTTGAAGCAAATAGTTGATATTTGTTTTATCATGTTGCAGAAGTTTTGCTATGAGATGTCACCAACATTTATTTTTATATATTATTCTTTAATGGTGGTGGAAATTGTTGTTGTGAGAACACAATCCTTGATTTTTTTAATATAAAATATTCTTGAAGTTCTGCATTTGGGTAGCCTAAGACTCTGCCCTTAAAAAAGTTCAAGTTCCCACTACAAGGATTCCAGAATCCTCATTAAAAAAAAATAATTTAAATAATTAAACCCCTGATTTTCCCCACCAAAATGCACACAACACAACATTTATGACCACATCTCCGAAATGACTGTTCACCCCCAAGGGTGATTGTTCCCCCCCAAGGGAACACCACCCAAAATCCGCAAAGGAACGAGGTGTCAGCGCTTGAATTGCAGGATGGTGAGGCCCACGAGCTCCCTAAATTCAGGTTTTATTTGTGAGGGGGGAGAGGCTCCCTCGGTGGCTGCCAGCAGCTGCCACTCGCAGTGTGCTGCTGCTCTCTGCTGCTTTCCAGCGCCGCCGGAGAGCGCCGGGAGCAGCCCGAGCTGCCCACGCCAGGAAATAAATATTTATTGCCAGAATGCTGACACGGCGAGGAGAAAAATCTTTACAATCTCACAGGAGCCTCCGTGAGGATGGGAAAATGCTGTCTCCCAGGGATTTGCTTAGCAGGATAATTTACCCCAAAAGTAAGGAAAGAAGTTTCTGCTTGGTTAATTCCCACTGCAGAGGAAGTTGCCCAGCACAAGAAATTTTCTATTTTTGCTCAGTCACAAACACCCTGTAATGGAGTTTTGGGTCCCTCCAGCAGAACTCTGTGAAAAGAAGAGGGAGGAAAACAAGAGCTGAATATTCCCCTGAATATTGCAGTGCCAGGATGGGGATTCAGCTTTTCCTGGCCTCAGGAGGGAGGTGGGAGCTCATTCTCAGGTGTGGGATGGGTGAAAATGCCCAGCAGTGAATTAAAGTCAAGATCAGAATTCCCAATTCCTCCAGTCCTGCACTCATCCCTTTGGATAAAAGGAGGCACAGGAAGGATAGAGGCAGAAAATGCTGATTTCATTCTGGATCCTACTCAGCAGCATCTCCAATAATCTCATTATTACTAGAACTTTTTCCAGCTTTGTCCTAGGAATAATTATTTTTATATATATATATATATATATATATATATATATATATATATATAAAATAACATAAAAATATATAATATAAATAACATTATAATATTATATTGTAATAAAATATATGGTATAATAAAATAATATCTATAATATATAAATAATATACTTATTTAATGTTATAATAATATAACAAAATATATAATAATAAAAATAATATAATATATAATAGAAGTAATATGTAGATAATGTATTACCTAGGAATAATGTGTATTTATTATGTAACAGGCCAAATAATTCCCATTTAACTGTGAAAATATTTTGGGATACTGTTATTACCAGTGCTGTGCCACCTTACCTGTAATTCAGACACTGAGTATAAAACACACCTGGAGGAATCAGGATCTCTCTGCCAGCCCTTGGTTCACCAAATTCAATTTATCATCCCTGCTTCCTCCCTGCACCAGTTTCCAGGCTGCAATTATAAATAACAAAGGACAAATCCTCAGTTTCCTAGAGAAAATGGCACCTGATGGTTGTTTTAGGAACACACATTTTCCTGTCTTTTTGGAAAGATAGAAATATCTAACTTTTATGTTGATAAATAACATATCATGGTGAAAATCACTTTTTTCCCCCTTACAATTGCCTGTGAGTGCAGCAAACTAAATCCCCTCAGGCTGGTGAAAAATAGGTCAGCAGTGTCCAGGCTTTCTAAAGATATTCCTCCCTGAAAGGCATCTCCTGGAAACACTCACCAAGTGCACCATGGATAAATTCAGATTCCTTAAAAACGGCATTCAAGCTTCCACCCAGCTCCCACTGCCCCTCCAGGCGCTCTGCAGTTTCTCTGGAATACAACAGGACTTGCCTGGGACCCAAATATCAGGAAATCATTTTCAGTTCACAGGGAAATTCACTGGCCTCAAGCAGATCTTTTAAAGCTCTTTTTTCACAGTAAACCCAACTCAGACTGAAAGGAAACATCACTAAAGTGAACTTAATTTACGCTAAATTAGTAAATGTTTAGTTTTTGCTTTAAATTAGGAATAACTTTTGAAACAGTAAACCCACCTTGGACTGAAAGAGAACATAACAACAGTAAACTTGATTTATGCTAAATGAGTAAATAGTTAGTTTTTGCTCTAAATTATGAATAACTTTTGCAAACAAGCAGATTGTGTGGTGCACAGTGACAAGGTAACCCCAGCAGTTGGGCTGTGTGTGGTTAATGATGCTCCTGCACCCCTTCAGACCAGCTCCAGGGGCTGCATAATTGTTTTTCTGTCAACCTATAAATTCTTGAGTAACAACAAAATTATTGTGATTTTTCTTCCTAAATTATTCATATCTCACAAAGTACATAAGCAGGCCCATGAATCACTGAGCATGTAACAATCATATCTAATGGCATTTCTTCTTTGAAGGAAAAAAAAAACAAGTTTGACTTTGTAATCTTGTTCAAAAATCAGTGTTCTAATCTGATATTTACATTTTAAACTTGAAAGTTCCCTTGATCAAGGGTTTTTGTCTGAAGGATTGCTTTTAATCATGTTTTCCACTTTTAATTCTATTAGGATTATTAATATCACTGCAAGAAATAAATTGGGTTTATAATGAACTACAACAGGGCTCATAAACTGTGCTTAAAGTGATGCAATTACTTTCAAAATCCCTCTAAGTTGTTTGTATTCGACTTTTTAGGACTTAAATACAAAAACCAACATCTTATTCTTTTCTAGAAATCATATAAATCTTTCAAGCAAACTTGCAATAGATTAGTGACCCTTTTCATTCTATATTCCCTGGCTGCAGTGCTGAAGCTGACACTTGTTCTTAGGTGTACTTAAACTGAAAAATACTGCCCAAAATTTAAATCATGACTTCTATTTCCAGAAATAGGGAAAGAAATCAAGACAACTCTTAGACTTATTAACTCACTTTTCTGTAGTGAACATGATTAAGGGGTTACAGCAAAAGCCAATATAAATTAAATG